TCTATGGGCAAAAACGGAACATACCAGAAGAATCAGCTCGTCGAGCTCTACAAACTGGTACATATCCCATTTAAAACTGAGACTCACACTTGGAGATGTTGCCTCGTAAGCACAAGGCTAGTCGAGCATGTAAAATATGAATAAAAGTAATTAAGTACGTTGTCTGTTTTTAAGAAAAGTAAATAATTGAAGATAAAAAAATCATTTGAAATAAAAATCAATCAAGTACATAAACCAAAACTGAAAAGATTCGTAGATGTAAGGTAAATGGAAAGTTGGATTTAGGCGTGATCAAAATATCATCCTCATTTTTAGTTTTTAGCTTTTTGATCAAGTTTTTTCAGTCCTTAGTTCCTAAAACATTTTTCGTTGCAACTGTTGTCTGGGTTTCAGCAAAACTAAATAGACGTCTAGATTTTCACCCGAATATCGCCTATCTTTGATCAGAAATTCTAACAAGATCTCTCTTAATGGCTCACTATTATTGTTAACAGTAACTAATATCACAGGGTAATCTTGAGTTACACTACAGCATATTAATTAGGATATTAAAATATAGGTTTTCAATTTTCATAATCAAAATGAGACCCCTTAAATGCTGTTAAGCTATCAATCGACGTTTTACAACTTTCTATCAGTAATGACGTCATCATTTTACCGTCATCCTGGTGACTACGCAATAATTTAGACACCCCGATTTTCAGGTAAAAATCGTACGGGAAGTCTTAATTAAGAATGCCAACTCATTATCTCTGATAAACACAGATAGAGTCAAAAATTAACATTAAAAAGTTCAAAGTGACCCAAAGATAGAGAACTCTTGTAAAGAAATAACGTCCAATTTGTTAATTTCGCACGTATCACACAATTACTGAATAGTATTACCAAATACTAGGAGCTACTACATATAACCACTAAAAGTCGCTACAGCAGTATATTTATATATAACGACATAAAATTACAAGCAGTTAATTCTACTTGGGACATATTTTATGCATGACCGTGATTTTGGAATCCGAATGTTGGAATTCCTTCTTCTTCGGATGAATAATGTGACCTTGGAATTTATTTTAGATTCCAGGGACATTATATGAGAATTTACTCATAATCATTCGATCAGAGAGAATTTTGATTACATTTTCATTCCTCGATCAACGTTACTTACAGAATAACAAAAACGAAATAATAACATTTCAAATCGTCCACCTTATAACTACCGATCTATACAAACTGTATCGCGAGTTATACGTGGCTTACTTATATAGTTATTATTATTATTCGTAAACAGATATGCTCAGAATCCATTACTTGGCATAATAATTCATATTGCTGATAATGTACTTGTATTTCTTTAGCCAGCGAAAACACTGTCGGCTGCTTGTGTATTCATGATGTCTGTTTCTGGATAATTTTTATAATCAAGATATTCCTTACACCATTTGTCCTGGTGATTATTGAAATGGAACTTGTCAATCAAAAATTTTGTTTCATACAAAATATCCATAGCATCTGTTTTTCTAATTGGCGTTTTTGATGATGTGTTGTAATGGAGTATAATATGTTTAATTACATGGCACATGTCATCATAAAAAACAAATGATGAAATAGTTGGTGTAATACGAATAATTGTGCATAATAAATTTATGAATTCTTTAACGGTTTCGGTGCGCAATAATTCAGTAAATGCAACGATAACGTTGCAGTTTGTTACAACTACTGAATAACCGCATGCACGCAAATAACCATTTGGCTAAAGTACACAGAGACAGTCATTATAGTAGCAGTGCAGTACATAAGGAAAAACGCTTCTGCGATATCTAAAACATTGATAAAGAAAAACGAATTACATTTGTTCGACGTTCAATAGATTTTAATGTTGTACACGATAGTCTTGGATAAGCTATCTTTTTGACAGTGCCCGATCTAAGTATCATTTCAGTGAAATAATTTTCTTCAATATCCTCGGCTGGCAGACAATCTGGCATATCTTCAAACTTCAAATGTGCATGCTGTTCACAAAAGACCGATTCACCGACAGGACTTTTGGCACAGCCGACTAAGATGGAGTCAAATTCGGGCGTTTCAGTTTTGTTATCATGGTACATACATATCCTTCGTCTTAGCTTCATATTACCGTCACCGACAATGCATAACGTACAATTTTTTTCACAGGTTTGAATTGTTTTGATTCATCTAAAAATAGACAAATTGTTTATAATTTTCATTAAATTGTTCAGATACCCATTCATTGTATTCTGATCGTTTTAATTTAGATAAATCAATTTTTGGACAGCCCACAAAGATTTTGAATTTAATGCTTTGGTAGACAAAATAAGCCAATTCCATATTTTCACGTGTCAACTTCAATTTTTCATTTTTTCTCATAAAATTGTAATAGTCAGAGAATTTTTCGAATGATGGTACGGTATTGATCAAATTGTGCTGCAAAATCTTCCAAAAATATCTTTGTGAAACAAGCACGACCACCGTAGTAAAAGTAATCAGTACGACGAAACAAATCCGACGTCGTGTATCGTTGGTCGTCAATTTGTATAAAATTTGGAAATGTAAAAATCTTGTACGTTTGCTCATCTAAAAATAAAAGAGAACGTTCTTACGAAGGATAAACGCTCGCCTTACATTCACGTAGGGACAAACTGAATGTACTTTAACAGAACAGTGGCTTCTGTACACTGACTACGAGTTCGCTTCAGTTCACGAAGGTTCAGTGAAATTTGCACTACGCACGTTAAGTGCACAGCTTTGCAGCTCCTGTTTTTGTTTGATGCAGTCTTCAGCTGCACTTATTCAAAGAATAAACATCTTTGCTTGCCTGTGAGCTTAGCCATATACATTAGGGAGGAACACTCTCCATTAAGAGAAAGACGCACTGATTCGCACTACTTCTGTAGCTTTAACGTAAACATATTTTTTAGCTGTTAAAAAAATGTACGGTACGGATTTAAGAAGGATTTCGAGAATTGAAACCATTTCCAAACCGCTTTTAGAATTGGTAAGCACCGG